ACAGTCTGAAAAGCCCACAGCAGCCCAGTGATTCTGGCCATGAAAGCCTTTGACAACACATTGAGCATGTCATTTGTAGCAAACAGAAAGGTTCCAGAGGGCAAGGCAGGCAGGCCTCATTCCCACCCACCAAAAATAGGGAGCTGTTCCATAATTCCAACATGTGTTAGATGGGGTTACACTCCCCCTGAAAATGCAGGTTCACAGTTTGGGAGTACTCCTGCATTCAACTCTGAACCTGGAGGCCCGGGTATCAGCAGTGACCAGCAGTACTTTTGCACAGTTAAAGCTAGTACGCCAACTGTGCCTGTTCCTGGAGAAGTCAGATCTGGCCATGGTGGAACATGCCTTGGTTGCATCCCAGTTAGACTACTGTAATGCGCTCTACATGGGGCTGCATTTGAAAAGTGCTCGGAAACTTCAGTTGGGCCAAAGAGCAGCAGCCAGACTGCTAACTGGGGCTGGCTACAGGAAGCATCCAACTCTACTGTTATATCAGCTCCATTGGATGCCAGGACGTTTCTGAGCACAATTAAAAGTTTTGACCTACAAAGCCCTATATGGCTCTGGTCCAGGTTATCTGAAGGACCACATCTCTTTCTATGAACCTGGGAAACATCTACAATCTAGTGGGGAGGGCCTTCTCTCGGTCCCACCACACATTTAAGAACACTTGGTGGGAACACAGGAGAGGGCCTTTTCGGTGGCTGCTCCCAGGCTGTGGAACTCCCTTCCAAGAGAAACCAGCTGTTTTTGAAGGCATGGAGAAATATATTTGGGTATCATCAGCATATTGATAACATCTCATCCCATGCCTGTTGACGATCTCTTCCAGCAACTTCATTTAATATTTAAGAGCATTGGGGTTAGAATGGCACCTTGTGGGACACAACATAACAGTTCTTTTTTTTGAGAAGTAGCTATCCCCAAGCAGCACCATCTGGAACCTGCCTGAGACGTATGACTGGAACTATGGTAACAGTGCTTCTGATTCCAAACCCCTTCATAAGGATACCATGGTTGATAGTATCGAAGGCCGCTGAGAGATTTGCGACGGCAGTGGGATCGAGAGCAGTGCCTCTCCAGATGATCTTTGTGATGATTCATAGCAGGAGATACTTTCGGACATGTAGCCTGGGCCAGAACTGTTTAGAGCTTTAAAGGATAAAACCAGCACTTTGAATTGTGCTCGGTAGCAGATCGGCAACCAATGGAGCTAGTGTAACAGAGGAGTTGTGTGCTCACTGTACGCCACACCAGTGAGCAATCTGGCTACTGACCGTTGGACTAATTGAAGCTTCCGGGCAGTCTTCAAAGGCAGCCCCATGTAGAGTGCATTGCAGTAGTCTAATCAGGATGTAACAGGAGTGTGGACCACCATGGCCAAGTCAGACTTCCCAAGGTATGGGAGCAGCTGGCGCACAAGTTTTAATTGTACAAAAGCTCCCCTAGCCACCACTGAGACCTGGAGTTCCAGGCTCAATGATGAATCTAGGATCACTCCCAAACTGCGAACCTGCGACTTCAGGGGGAGTGTAACCTCGTCAAGTACAGGCTGTAACCCATTAGAAAATGTTGACCATTTCCGCTACCTTGGCAGTTACTTCTCCAACACTGCCTGAACTCTGCGAGTGCAGAATTTTCCCGGATGAAGCAGAGAGTATTTGAAGACTGGGACATCCGTAGGGATACCAAGGTGCTTGTTTATAAAGCTATTGTCCTCCCAACCCTGCTATATGCCTGTGAGATGAGGACTGTCTACAGACATCCCATGCAACTCCTGGAATGATTCCATCAGCACTGCCTCCGGAAAACCCTGCAAATCTCTTGGAAAGAGAAGCAAAGACCACCTGCATTAAAGCGATGGTACTCCACCATCAACTCCGCTGGACCGGCCACGTTGTCCGGATGCCTGACCACCGTCTCCCAAAGCAGTTACTCTACTCTGAACTTAAGAACGGAAAAGGGAATGTTGGTGGGCAGAAAAGAGATTTAAAGATGGGCTCAAAGCCAACCTTAAAAACTCTGGCATAGACACTGAGAACTGGGAAGCCCTGGCCCTTGAGCCAGCTGGAGGTCAGCTGTGACCAGCAGTGCTGTAGAATTTGAAGAGGCACGAATGGAGGGTGAAAGAGAGAAACGTGCCAAGAGGAAGGCGTGTCAAGCCAACCCCGACTGGGACCGCCTTCCACCTGGAAACCAGACACTGAGAACTGGGAAGCCCTGGCCCTTGAACACTCCAGCTTGAGGTCAGCTGTGACCAGCAGTGCTGTAGAATTTGAAGAGGCACGAATAGAGGGCAAAAGAGAGAAACGTGCCAAGAGGAAGGTGCATCAAGCCAACCCCAACTGGGACCGCCTTCCACCTGGAAACCAATGCCCTCACTGTGGAAGAAGATGCAGATCAAGTATAGGGCACCTCTTCTCTCTCGTAGTCCGAGGATGATGGTCCTCCAAGAGTGGTAACCTGGGGGTGGATCCGTAGGTGGCTGTGGAGCCCTATTCTTGATCTGCATCTTCTCCCACAGTGAGGGCATTGGTTTCCAGATGGGAGGCGATCCCAGTCGGGGCTGGCTTGACGCGCCTTCCTCTTGGCACGTTTCTCTCTTTCACCTCCATTCGTGCCTCTTCAAATTCTGCAGCACTGCTGGTCACAGCTGACCTCCAGCTGGAGCGCTCAAGGGCCAGGGCTTCCCAGTTCTTAGTGTCTATGCCAGAGTTTTTAAGGTTGGCTTTGAGCCCATCTTTAAATCTCTTTTCCTCTCCTCCAACATTCCGTTTTCCATTCTTGAGTTCAGAATAGAGCAACTGCTTTGGGAGTACCACAGTCACCTATGGACCCCCCACACACTGCACACTGACCCCCACACACTGCACACTGACCCTGCCCAAACCCTACTTTAAGAAATGAATCAATTTTTAATCTTTTCATTTTTTTTTATCTTGTAGTTGCACAATTATATAGGAGTGGGTTGACAGGCCAGTAGGCTGGGATGCCTTGTATTCATATATGGTTTTATTGTATGTATGGGCAAGTGTGTATGTTTTTGTATGTTTTGCATGTTTTCATATGGTCAAAATTGACTAATCAATAAAGAATTGTTGTTGTTGATCATCCTACTCGGACAACGAGGGATTGTCTAAGTAAGCCTTTCAACTCACCAGGAGGACCTCTGTCTTGTTTGGATTCAGTTTCAATTTGTTTGCCCTCATCCACACCAACACTGGAGTCAAGTAAAGCCAGTGTACATGTCCCCTTTCAAATCAAGAAACCTAGACCCAAGCATCTATATAAATAAAAATGTAATGTTCGTTTGTGGGATTAACAGAACTCAAAAACCTCTGGGGGAACTGACACCAAATTTGGACACAAGACACCTAACAACCCAATGTATGTCCTTCATTAAAAAAATGATCTTGTCATTTGGGAGTTGTAGTTGCTGGGATTTATAGTTCACCTACAATCAAAGAATATTCTGAACCCCACCAATGATGGAATTGATCCAAAATTGGCACACAGAACTCCCACGACAAACAGAAAATACTGGAAGGGTTTGTTGGGCATTGACCTTGAGTTTTGGAGTTGTAGTTCACTTACATACAGAGATCACTGTGGACTCAAACAATGCTGCATCTGGACCAAGCTCTACAAGAATACTCAATATGCCCAAATGTGAACACTGGTGGACTTTGGGGAAAATAGAATCTTGACATTTGAGAGTTGTAGTTGCTGGGATTTATAGTTCACCTACAATCGCAGAACACCACCAACGATAGAATTGGGCCAAACCCAGGGGCGGCTTGTCCATTACGCGAAGTAAGCAGTCGCAGAACACTTTTTTTTGCCAGGGGCGCAGAGGCGCCTCTGTAAATGCTCTTCGACTGCCACTTGAGGAGCACCCCCTCAGCTCACAACAGCCCTAGCAGTCTGGGGGGAGCTTCGGCTTTCTTGTCTCGCTGCCGGGTGATCCTCTTCCCAAAGGGGCCAGGCCCTTGAGCCTCGGCTAGCCCCTCTCGTTCCTGCTCCACCCGGCCACCGGGTACGCGTGCAGAGCTGGCGCTCAATCGTTCTCCGCATTCGATCCCTTTCCCATGAACGGCTCCCTTTCCTGATCCCCCGGTGTTCCACCCGCCTCCTCTCCTCTCCCCAATCCGCGGGTGGGCCAAGGGGTGGAGCCATCATGCCTGGCCCGCTTCGGGTCCGGAGGCGTGTCTGAAGACCCCAGCATGTGCACCAAAAGTCGCCTCTTCTCCTGACTTTCTCTTCAGCTGGAGGTATCTCCCACCTCCGCTCCCTCCTTTGTTTTTGTGCCTACCTTCAGGAAAGGTGGGCATCTCCACCTCTCCCTCTCTCTCGGCAAGTGTAGTTACTGGGATGTATAGTTCACCGACAATCAAAGAGCATTCTGAACTCCACCAATGATGGAATTGAACCAAATATGGCACACAGAACTCCCACGACGAACAGAAAATATATATCAGTGATTGGTTGGGGGGGGGGCGCCAAAATACTGTTTGCTTACCATTGAAAATTACCTAGGGTAATTTACCTACCTGGCCAAACCTCCCAGACAGAACCCCTATGTGTGCCACAGCAACGCGTGGCAGGGGATGGCTAGTATACTATAATGAAACTAGCAAGCCATCCAGGGGAATAAGGGGAAACAGTGAAACATGGCTGTGACATCACCTGAAGTGGAGCTTCAAGAGATGTCAACCTTTGGCTGCCTCCTCTCCTCAACCCGGGCCTCAGGAATGGAAGAGCTAGCAGCAATGAGGAGCATCCTTGAGGCCAAGGCAGCTGCGAGGAGGAGGTTCAGGCCTACAAGGAGTGGAGGCAGCCTCGCGCAAGGCCTTGAGTGGGCTTGGAGGGCCTGAGAAGGCCACCAAGGGCGTTCCCCAAGGCGGAAGGTCACGCGCCACAGCAGCGCGAGGAAGCCCCTTCCCCTGCCGCGCGCGCTCGCGGCCTTGTGTTCTTTTTCTACGCGTTGCCAGACTCACCGAGGACGAAGTAGGGCAGCTCGGTGTTCTCGAGGTCGTCCACCACCACCATCTCTCCGGGGAAGTCGTTGCGGACGGAGAAGAGCAGCTTGGGCTCGGAGGCCGAAGGGCTGTGCATGATGCTCAGGTCGTTCTCCCTCAGGAAGGGCAGCGCCGAGACTGTGATGCTCTTCAGCTTGCACTCCATCTCCTTGGAGGAAGGGTCGGCGCCTGCCGCCGCCTCAGGACCCCCGGCTCCTGCCGCCTCGGAGCCACCTCCACCTCCACCTGCCCCACCCGCCGCTGCCTCTGCTCCCGAGAGAAGGGCCCAGCAGCCCAGGCAGAGGCAGCAGCAGGACGCCATGAGGCGGGCGCCGGCGAAAGCCATCTTTGAGCTGCCTCGCCTTCCTTCGCCTTTGGCGGGCGCTGAGGGGGCGGGGAGGGAGAGGCGAGGGGAGGGGGGAGCGGGGAGGACCACAGGAAGGCCTTTTGTCCGCGAGGCAGGGGAGGAAGGAGAGCGCGAGGCTGAGGAAGGGTGCGCGAGGCAGAGGAGGAGAGCGCGAGGCTCAGGGGAGGGGAGCGCGAGGCTTCCTCTTCTGCCTCCTCCTCCTCTGCATCTTCTGCCTCGCGCTCTCTCTCTCTCTCTCTCTCACTCGCGCGCTCGCTCGCTCTCCCTCGCGCGCCAACCTCCTCCTGAGGCACACAAGGCTCTCTCCCACGGTCGAGGAGGGAGGGAAAGGTTGCATGCTGTCACTGCATTTTCGAAGACAGACAGGTACAGAGCCTTCTCCCCCAGCCTCTTCTCCCAAGAAAGGACCAGGCAGGTGCCTCTGGTACCACACGAGGAAGGCCAACAGGGCTGAGCATCATAGAATCCTAGTTAGATCCCAAAGGCCATAGAATTCTAGTTAAGAGACCCCTAAGGCCATGGAACCCTTGTTATAAGAAACCCCAAAGGCCTAACTCTGGGCCAGAGTAAAGAGAGGGCAGGCCAAGGGACAGTTCCATCTTGGCTCCTGAATATGCCATCATCTGTGTACGAACCCCTGCTCACGATCCCACCTGCATCGCAAGCGTGATTGGTGGGGACGAGGGATAGGGCCCTCTTGGTGGTGGCCCCTCGACTCTGGAACTCGCTCCCCAAGGATATCAGACATGCCCAGAGGCGGCCCTAGGTAATTTTCAATGGTAAACAAACAGTATTTTGGCGCCCCCCCCCAAAAAAAAACCAATCACTACACACACACACACACACACACACATATATACACACATACCGTAAAAAAACGGGGTACTTAGGCCGCATTCCTTCCTAGCCAGGCCTGTCTCGCGGGAGAAGACTCAAGAATCGCGAGGCCTGGCTTGGAAGGAATGCACCCTAAGCAGCGCTCCTTCCTAGCCAGGCCTCCCGAAAATCGTGAAGCCAGGCTAGGAAGGAGCGCTGCTTAGACCGCTCTCCTTCCTAGCCAGGCCTCGCGATTCTCGCGTCTTCTTCTGCGAGACAATGTTGTCTCACGGAAGAAGACGCGAGAATCGCGAGGCCTGGCTCAGAAGGAATGCGGCCTAAGCAGCGCTCCATCCTAGCCAGGCCTCTCGAAAACCGTGAAGCCATGCGTGGGAGCTCCTCAAGAGCGCCCCCCTAGATGGGCGCCCTACACAAAAGCGTAATTTGCGTACTGTCTTGGGCCGCCTCTAGACATGCCCCAACTTTGGCAGTCTTTAAGAGGAGCCTGAAAACGTGGTTGTTCCAGTGTGCCTTCCCAGAATAAGGAATCCTAAGCAACATGTCCCTAATCACACTTTACTAATGATCTAGGATTGTCTGCTCGCCCAATTCTCTCCAAATACCCATCCTAGTCATATGTCACCTTGTCATACCCAGTATTTTAAAATTTTAATTCTTACATTTGGCCCTGCCATAGGTTTTTAATGCGTTGTGGTGTTATTTTTATTGTTTATTGCTTTGTTTATGAGTTTTTTATTGTCTGTATTGCTGTTGTTTTATTGATGTAATTGGGCTCAGCCTCTTGTAAGCCACACCGAGTCCTCCCAACGTCGCTGTCGCTCTGGGCCAGAGTGAAGAGAGAGGGAGCCAGGGGACAGTTCCACCTTGTCTCCTGTGCTATTCTCATAATAATCTATATATATATAAATGCTCTATGCATAATGAGTACCTTAAAAACAAAAGAACCAATGAACGAAATCACACCAAATTTGGCAACAAAACGTCTCACGACACAAGGAGTGACCATCACTCAAAAAATTATGATTTTGTCATTTGGGAGTTGTAGTTGCTGGGATTTATAGTTCAGCTACAATCAAAGAGCATTCTGAACCCCACAAACGATGGAATTGAACCAAATTTGGCACACAGTTCTCCCATGACCAACAGAAAATACTGGAAGGGTTTGGTGGGCAGTGTCATTTGGTTTTGGAGTTGTAGTTCACCTATATCCAGAGATCACTGTGGACACAAACAATGATGGATCTGGACCAAACTCTACAAGAATACTCAATATGCCCAAATGTGAACACTGGCGGAGTTTGGGGAAAATAGAATCTTGACATTTGGGAGTTGTAGTGGCTGGGATTTATAGTTCACCCACAATCAAAGAGCAATCTGAATCCCACCAATGATAGAATTGGGCCAAACCCCCCACATAGAACCCCCATGTGGGCCACAGCAACGCATGGCAGGGGATAGCTAGTCTATATATATATAAATGCTCTGTGCATAATGAGTACCTCAAAAACAAAAGAACCAATGAACGAAATCACACCAAATTTGGCAACAAAACGTCTCACAACACAAGGAGTGACCATCACTCAAAAAATTATGATTTTGTCATTTGGGAGTTGCAGTTGCTGGGATTTATAGTTCACCTACAATCAAAGAGAATTCTGAACTCCATCAACAATGGAATTGAACCAAACTTGGCACACAGTTCTCCCATGACAAACAGAAAATACTGGAAGGGTTTGGTGGGCATTGTCCTTGAGTTTTGGAGTAGTAGTTCACCGACATCTCAAGAGCACTGTGGATTCAAACAATAATGGATCTGGACCAAACTATTTATATGCAATAACTCCAAATATAAACACGGATGGAGTTTGGGGGAAATAGACCTTGACATTTGGGAGTTGTAGTGACTGGGATTTATAGTTCACCTACAATCAAGGAGCATTCTGAACCCCACCAATGACAGAATTGGGGCAAACTTCCCACACAGAACCCTCATGACCAACAGAAAATACTGTGTTTTCTGGTGGCCTTTGGTGACCCTTCTGACACCCCCTCGCAATCCCCCCAGGGGTCCCAAACCCCAGGCTGAGAAATGCTGCCTTAAAGCCATCCAGTACAACTCCCTTCACCAGGGCAAGAAAACATAATCAAAGCCCTCCTGACAAAGGGCCATCCAGCTATTCACACACATACATATATGTATATGACAGATGCAGTATCAAAGATTTGAAAGGGACCCCTAAAGAAGGACAATGATATGTTGCATGTTCCAGAGTAGGCAAACCAGACGTCAACACTGGCAAAGTATGGCCATGTTCTAGCAGCATTTTCTCCTGATGTTTTGCCTGCTTCTGCAGCTGGCATCTTCAGAGGGATGTTGTTGTGTGCCTTCAAGTTGTTTCTGACTTAAGACAACATTAAGGTGACTTTATCTTGTTTTTATCACTGTTCATTGCTTTGAGTCTCTTTGAGAGAGAGAAAAGCAGTATATGAATAAATGTGATAATGATGATAACACCATTACAGGATTTTCCTGGCCAGCTTTGTTCAGGTTAGGTTGCCTCTGAGGCTGAGAGACCGTGACTCAATGAAGGTCACCTGTCAGGCTTCCATGGCAAAATGGGGATTCAAAGCCTGGTCTCCAAAGGCTCATCCAAGACTTAGACCAGGAAACGTGGCTGTCCAAGGTGCTGAGGGTAAATTGCAGAAGATGGCAGTGGAAAGAAGCCCTCTCTGGAAAAACCATACCCAACAGTCCAAAGCCCAAGGGAAAGTTGAGAGTTCAGGCTTGAGTTGCTCTAGAATCCATTCATTTGTCTTCTCAAAAGCTTCAAGATATTCCTAGAATTCTCTTCCAGCACTACTTTTCATTTGTGCATTTCTCCTCTTGTCAGCTTTCTTCACTGTCAAGTTTTCACATTTGTACATAAAAATAGGAAATTCTTATAGGAGAACCAGCATGATGTAGTGGTTTAAGCACTGGAATATCATGGAAATGAGGGTTTGAATCCCCATTCATCCATAAACACATACTGGGTGATCCTGAGGTAAGTCACACACTCTTGACCTTAGACAGAGGCAATACCAAACCCTTTCAGATCAATCTTTCCCAGAAAACCCCATGACAGGTCACCTTAAGGTCAGCATAAGTTGAAAACAAGTTTGACAGCACATAAGAATAGCATGGATGACCTTGGCTTTGAAATCAAAATGGAGACTGTAGTCAAGAAATGAGAAGATCTATGAAGGATCGAGATAAAACTCTAGAGCAGTGGTTCTCAACCTGTGGGTCTCCAGGTGTTTTGGTTCACAAGTCCCAGAAATCCCAGCCAGTTTACCAGCTGTTATGATTTCTGGGAGTTGAAGGCCAAAACATCTGGGGACTCACAGGTTGAGAACCACTGCTCTAGAGTTTTATCTCGATCCTTCATAGATCTTCTCATTTCTTGACTACAGTCTCCATTTTGATTTAACTGGACCCAGGCTTAGAAAATTATTAACATTTTCAATGCACTTTAAATATTCTGTAGTAATTATTTTTGTCTACTTAATATTCAGTTACAGCCCTGCTTTTGCACTTACTTTTTTCCTTTCATCACTTGTCATTTCAAGCCTGCGCTATGTATAATATGCTACTAATAATGTGTCATATGCATAACTTACCTTATTGATGTTTCTTCTTCCAATTTTCACTCTACTTTCTTTTTTTGGTATGGTGTATTTGTATAAATTTAATTAAAATGTAGGTTGGTGATTAAAGTACAGCTTTGTCTAACTCTCCTTGCCAATTGGAATCCATTCTGTTACTCTATATAGTGTTCTGACATTGGTTTCTTGTCCACAATGTGTGAAATTGATCAGAACAATCAGGTGCTGTGACACTTCATTAGTTTTAGAATAAGCCATAGTTTTAGCTTATATGAAAAAAAAGTTTTGCTGTTTGCTAAAGCACAGGCTGATTTTCTTCTCAAATTCTTTGCATGCATTATTAGTCAATACAGTTTTGTCTTTGGCTTTTAGAAAAATAGTGTAGAAATTTTGCATTCCATTCCATATATAGTAAAAAACGTTTTATTGTAAAATCTTGAGTGTAACTTGGCTTGCATGGGGAGATTAGAGCAATGGTTTTATGATCTCAAGAGTTCCCTTTCTAAAGTTTGGAATGTATATGGAATATTTCCAGTTTGTGTCCCATGGTGCTCTTTTCCATATTTATTGACAGATTGTTGTTAGAATTCTGATGGATTCTGTCACTGTCGCCTAAAACAGCTCTATTGGTATGCCATCTGTTACTGGTGATTTATTTCTTCCAAGAGACCAGTTTCTGCTTCATTTTCTAAAATTATAGGCTTTTTGTTCAAAGGTTCGATTTGAAAGAAACCTTCATTCT